TATGAACATTTTCTCTACCATTTATATGTTTTATTTATCCACTGCAGACCCAAGGCTCTATTGAACGCGATGATGAGGTACTATTTTTCTTTTCCTTATTGTTACGAATTGAGGATTGACTTTCCAAATCTTGGTTATGTGACGCTTAACAAAGCTTCCGACCTTATGTGAGAATATTTCGTATGTGGAACGAGTATTAATTTCGCACCGTATCTCCCTGTGTTATTTATTATCGCGACTCCTTTGCATGTCGTCCAAGCAGTCAATATAATAGCTTTAGTGATTAAAGTAGACATGAGCGCCTCTTATGAAGTCTATGTTGCAGGATGTTTACTTTGATGACGAATCTGCAGAAGTCGTCATATCTTCATTGCGCCTTGGAGATGAACAGGAGAGGTAATGGGTTCGACTTTTTCTTTTCTGGTATAATTCTATTCCGTTGACTCTTTATCATATGGTTGATGCGGTCCCTTCACTTACGAATTGTAATCTGGTGTCTTTGTAGCGGTTCTCTCTTCACAAATTCAAACTGGTTTGCTTTCGATGATGAAAAAGCTGCGGATGAATGCTCAATGGCTTCCCCTCCACCCAATGATGATGAAGATGATGATGATGATGCTGTCATAGGTGAAGCCGATGATGACTTCAAGGACACTGCAGACTCCCCACCTGTTGATATGGAAACAGAGGATTCTACATCAAAGAATCCTTCTGAAAACCAGAGTGAACCAGAAGCCGAAAAATCAGCCGGTTGGGTCGAATGGAGAGAGACCTCCGAGTCCACTGCGCCTTCTTCAAACCCAGATGAAGCCACCACATTGCCCAATGGTGGGGTTCAAATGGATGATGGTGATGATACTGATAAACAAATTGCAGAGGATTCGCCAACAGGTGCAAGTGGCGATGAAACCACAGAGAAGTCACCAGATGCAGCAAGTGGGGCTGAAATAGCCGAGAAGTTGAAAGATTCTAGTTCTGATGCGTCAGGACTAGTTGCTGAGTCGCATGAGAATGCTCAAAGCTCTGAACCTGCAAATTCGCAGGAAACGGAGAAGAGCCAGGAAGCAGATGTTGCTGCAGAAACCGAAGAGCCTGTGAAGGAAGTATGAGTTTTACTTAAAATCGGACTACGTAAAACAAATTCCTGCAGATGCTTATAGTTTTGGATTCTTTCTTTATTTTTTGTTCTATCATCTCCAAATCCAGTCCAACACTATTGTCGACCAAATTTGTCACTAGCCTATCATTTTTATATATAGTTTTTTTTTTTAACCTCATAAGTAGTATGTTATAAAAGTTGTTGCTCTTAAGCCGCAGATAATAATTCATGGTAAAACAATCAGATGTTAATCTCATGTCTCCTGCATCTTGTTCCTACAAAATATATTTAATAAGAGCTTGGCTCATTTGCTTGATGCTTTCTTTCTTATGAAACAGTAGCATGTTAGGCTGATATAAACAGAGAAGTCTGAGTGGAAGCCAAAGTGAAGCACTCGAGAGCAACACAGTTGAATAGCAGAGTATTACTCGAAAAATGAGCTTTAACTTGTGTATTGTGAAATGTTGAAACGCGAAGATAAAAAGGTAAAGGACATGTAAAAGTTGCAAGCGTTTAAAGATGTGTCTCTTTTCGGAGATGATTCGTAGAAGTTGTACAAACTGTGGACAGTCATTTTAATTTCTACAGTCATTTTTTAAAAATATTTATGTTTCAATCTAATCTATTAAAATGGAAGTACAAATAGGAAATACCCCTTAATTTTCCTCAAAAATTACATATGGCATGCCACTGAAAATTAGTTAACTATAAATCAATCAATACATTTATAAAAAAATAATTGGATTATTCACTTACCAAAAAAATATTCACGTGTACACACAATCCTTCACAATAATAATGAACCAATTGGTTTATAGATGTATCTAACATTATATAAACCTTCACAATTGGCTGGTTTGTACCTATATATGTCTAACATTTATTTCAAGATCGAAGCAAGCCTGTTCATTGAGATCGACAGTCGAACTTATACAAACAATAACATCAAAACATTTGTTTGGTGATAATAGATATATAAGTTAGTAGCATGTCTTGTGTATGATAATAAAATATAATAATAACGAGCCGGTTGTGAAATGTTGTATAGTTCCACACACTCTTATACAAACAAAAATGTTTACTTCACCTTTTATATAGTTAGTATTATAATTTATGTCACATTTTATTTTTTATACTATATTTAAATTGTAAGATAGAAAATAATTATTGAGATTCTCAAAATATAATTAAGGTGACTACATTCAACTAATTTGAAGTTTTAATTGTTTTCAACTATAGATCTTCATGAGANTTATACAAACAAAAATGTTTACTTCACCTTTTATATAGTTAGTATTATAATTTATGTCACATTTTATTTTTTATACTATATTTAAATTGTAAGATAGAAAATAATTATTGAGATTCTCAAAATATAATTAAGGTGACTACATTCAACTAATTTGAAGTTTTAATTGTTTTCAACTATAGATCTTCATGAGAACTTAATAGAGTAATTGCAGTCCATATACACCATTAATCAGAAAATTAGGTATATACCTTTGCCACTTTTCTTTTTTTTTTTAATTCCTAAAATACCCTTAGTCTTCTCTCTCCTCCCTCCTCCCCTCATCGTTTTCCCTCCCCTTCTCATCCTCCTCCCCCTCCATTCCTCCTCCTCCTCCCTCCTGTTCCCCCCTCCTCGTCCTGCCTCCTCCTCCGCAGAGATCATCACCGTCGAAACCCCCTCCTTCCTCCTCCCTCCTCCCTCATCGTCCTCCCTCCCCTCCTCCTCCTCCCCTCTTCTTCGTCCCTCCTCCTCGTCGTCCTCCCTCTTCGAAATAAGTTAAGAGATTCGAACGTAGAGTAGAAAACTGAGAAAAGGGAGAACTTTTTCTTTTTAACTTACTCAAGTCTCTGTTGATCTCGCAGACGGTGACGGAACCGAGATTAGGAAACGATGCCATTGTCGTCTCTCTTTGCTCTTCTGTAATCAAAATCAGATATGGTGCGGGGAACGGCGACAGGTTCTCGCCAGAGAGACGAGAGGAGTGATATTGATTTGATTTTGAGGTTTTGTAATTGATTTAGGAGTATATCGTAATTACACAACTGAAAAAGTACATATTGGGTCCATTATATATCTGTTATGGTATATGCCTAATTTCTGCTATTGTCACGTATATTGATCTCATTCACTCAACTTAATATAGACAATATATTTTTCTTTATATTTATTCCTAATATGTAAACTCGAATATATAAATTTTTTTTTTTATAATCTTTACTGAGAATGTAAATACTTCCAAGAAAAATCGTAAAATATATTAAACTTTAAACTGTATCCACATATGTTTTTTATTAGTTTCTAAAGTTTGATAATAATAATAATAATAATAATATGTAACCGACTATATCATAGCTAACTGCTTTCCTATTTAAAATGATATTGCCAAAAAATAATTAACTTCCTCTAGAAAATCATAAATTCATAACTATATTCAATAT